CAAAATGTAAACTGAATTCATTTGATTTACCTGCGACAAATTCGCCTGATTTTAAATGTATAGAATCTCCTAAATATATGAAGTAAAATCTAAATACATGCATAACTACTGGCTACCCAGCCACGTACCGTATTCTTATTTGGTGCAGTCAAACCATGCCCATCTCGTGTGACATACACCCCTGTCACCTGGGTTCGTGTAACCCCGTTACAGAAGCGATCTAAATCCAATCTTTTTTTTGGGCAATGCGGCGGGCTTCGTCCGAAACGCGAGAAAAACTTTCGGTCCGCCATGGATAGTTGGATAACGGAATCTTAAGGACCCTTTTAGCGCGTCGGTTGCAACGGACCTTAGCATGATAAAGAGAAAAAGAGAGCAATTAGCCATAGTGACCAGATAGCAACTTCAGGTTCCAGGCTTTTTGAATCCATTCGAAACATTGGTAGGCTTAGGAGTGTTGTGCAATTTAGCTCGCCGCAACGCAGTAGCGAGTTTGCTGAGAGATAGGAGATATCAACGCAAAGGCGATAATTGAGCGTACTGCATCAGGGGCTTGAGTTGTTATCGCTCCCTTCACCTTATTTACGATAATATCTCATCGTAGATATGGCATTGCTTCTTCGTTATGAGCCATTGCTCGATTCAACGCCAGAAACATTAGATACAATGCAGCTCTTTCCTGGTGGAGCTTTGTCGAGTCGTGGTTTACCCAGAGAGAAAAGAACTTTCGGCGCGTACACAGAGTCGCGATAGCTTGGGTGGAAGACTTCGTACTATCCCAATTGATGAGCAACGATGCTGTGAAGAAATTTCGAGAAAGCTCGAAAGGCAACAACAGCAGTAAGCCGGTGTAACAGCAGAAACGTAACGGGCCATTGTCGCGATTCTAATAGTGTCAGTCTTTTAAGACCTAAACACTGGCATCATGGCGTATCTCCAGCGTGATATTGGGATGTAGCTTCGAACTTGCGTCGCTTGTGCTAGAACTGGTAGATACGAGTATGAGCGCGTGTGTATCGTATTCTCCTGTGCTAAGGCCGGTGGAGCGGACGATTGTAATCCACAAGTAACTCACGTTATTTAGCACATAAATCTTTGCGCGCAGGGCTTAGAAAATATTCTTCACATCCTATTGTAGCATTCCATCTGATCATCTGTTTGCGAATAGTCAGCAGGTAACATTTTAGTTCTGGTGATGAGCACCTTACACAATGTCTACCAAAACTTCATTAGAAAGCGTGATCTTTATTCGATACAATGACTACCGGCAAGCCATTTTAGCGAAAAATTTGGTCGGGGGAAGCTTGCCTGTATTCTTGTCGGCTGCATATCATTGACAGTAGCGGGATGGGCCATCTAGCTCAGACAGTCATTAAACACTGCAATACAGGTATCATAGGATACACTGTTCGAAAATCATGACCTAGGTCTGTTTTTATGAGCTGTAAACACTCTACCAAAGTTGGCCAAATGTGCCGACACAAGTGGCGAGGGATTATACGTGAACACAGCTCACATGTGCTCACAAACACGCTTATCCACACACACCAGTACATACCGCTCATCGAGTAGTTTGAAATCCTCCGAGGAGGCCATATTCTTTGCCTCTTACAGGGTTCTATCCATGAAGTCATTATTACGAAGAACCACCACACGATGAGCATCAAGTGTATCAGTGCTGTAGTACAGCAATACTTGGGAAAAGGCTGGCGGTGCAGACGTGCAACCGAGCGATTTGATAGAGCGACATTCAAATTCTTGAACTTCTTCTTGCTCGCAAATCAGAGGGCTATTCAACACATGTTGCGTCTTTCCGTGCGCTGTGCATTTCTCCTCCTCAATTCATGACGTCATCTTCGTGACATACTAGCATTTTATTTTCGGAATGACGCGAGTGTAAGCCGCCACCTAATCAAGACCTGTTTACATTTTATATTTGGCAACGAAGGGTCAACCGGTAGCCATTTTACTATTCCCTGTAAGAGATTTGGTGATGACGTCAATGTGTGCAACAAGTTATGCCTGCATAGATCATATGAGCGTTGGAGCTAAGCAGGCGCGCCCAGCAGTTGACGGAAGAATACTTCATGACAAGAAGCTCCTTGCCTTAAACGGTTTCCACTCGATGTATAGGCGCTTAATAACGGGTACATACCCATACTGGCTTTGTCCACCTTTTTATCAGAAATAATAATTCAGCCAAACACTGTACTTCCTTAACACCTCCACGAAGTGGCTTCGGTCTTGTTGAGAGATGGGCTGTCGACACAATTTGACTTGTTAATTTTCAGCTCACTTCGCACAATTGCACAGATATTTTCTTAATGAGATTGCGTGTCATGAGCCAAGTGCGCGACGCAATGGCCAGGAGCCAGGATGTGCAAACGTATTATGCATATGGCAGCAGAAGTGGCAGGTTAAAAGATGAGCCTTAATTTACAATTAATTTGGGAGTAGGCGGCAAATAGAAAAGTTGCTGCAATCTTCCTTTCAGTACCGTATTTTTATGTTTCTTTTCGCCACAATCCCGATATCCTACCTAGGCTGTTAGTGAAGATTATTGAGTCAGTGACTATAAATGGAAACTCATTACTTATGTTGGCGTACAATTTTTCTTTCTTCGTTGTGTTTAGGCACCGTTTGGGTATAGGAAGGTATATCTTAGTGATATAAAACGAATGATTATTGAGTTCTCGACTCAGTAACTAAACATTGCACTGAAAGAGAATGTTGAATAAATTTGTCTCAGTGGGTTGTAGAGGGGGTGGGCTAAAGTCTGGCACGGTCGATTCTGAAGATAGATTTTGAAAATTGGCTTCTCTGAGGCTCCCACAAGGTGTCAAGTACTTTGTTTATGATTATACAAGTGCTGCATCCACAACTTTGTTTCCTTAACTTCTTATCAGGTTGAGAAGTAGTATTGATGCCTTAAATGTACAATTGATAAGGTGTCACGTCTAGTTATTTACAGCAATTTTTTTATTAGAGTTGGACTCCATCAAGAGCCTCGTTTAGATGGTCAAGGCTGAAAACATCCGCATCCATACTGTTGTCATCGTTCGTCCGTCTGAAGGGATTTTGAAAAAATGCACCGTACATCTTAAGCTGAGAACAAATCAGGTCTGCTCAAGCAGCACCAATGATGGAATTATTGACAATGATAGAAGTGCAGAGCGAAGGAAGCTGTAGGGGAAGAGCTGACCGAAGAGACTTGAGTGGTGAAGGAGAAATTTCAAAGTGAATATATTTTTGGTACTTAGTTCACAAACTAGTTGCGACCTCTAAGCCAATCAGTGAACAACACATACAATACACATAAGTTACTATACCAGTTTCATACCAGTATCGTAACTGTATCATACCAGTTTCGTATCGTACTTACATGCGTTCGTATTGGATAGACGAGGAGAACAAACACACACCAGAGTGTACTTGTAATCCGTAAAAAACAATATCTTCACCAGTCTGTGCCCATGCCGTGCGGACCAACAAGAATTTTGACTCCACTGGTCTGGAATTGCCACATTTGTTGTATGCCACCTAGGGCAACGGCTCTATTGGGCTCACGCCCGCCATATTCTTCAATTCGCATACTAAATTCTTGCTTTCGCCATATTCTAATGGCGTTGTGCTGTTCCGGCATATCTGTCAGTGGTGGAAGGGTGCCACAAATCGATGACCAAAACAAAGTATTGAAACTTAAGTTATGCAATCTTTTTTGTCTGATCATATCTGATGTCATTATAGCGGGTGCCTACATTGTATTTATGAAGATTGTGAAAAGAATATTTTTCGGCTTTCAGATTATGTGTGAGAAATGGCTGGTCAGCGTCAGATACAAATTACTCCGACAATAGCAGAGTAGAATATCAATTTCAAGGGGCTATTAATTTGCGTGCTAATTGTATCACATATAGTTGATTAAAAACAACAGAGCAGCTTAGCGTTTTGTAACTTGACATATTGCGAAAGCTTGTACGATGATGACGTCCACTCGAGTGTTCACATTGCTTTAAAGCTGCTATAATTCGAATTGATAATAGTTGCTGGTAACCTTTCGTCTTCGCCAGATATACTGGATAACAACAAGCCGAACATCAGGCTTGTCTTTCATTCGTTAATAAATTGACTACTTACTAAGTCATCCAGCACTTAAAGCATGAAGTAATCTAGCAATCATGACGTGGCGCTACCTGAAGACGTAAAGGCTTCATCGAGAGCGACTTGCTCGATTGACGTATCGGCGCAAAAGTCGTCACTGATTTGAACAAGTTTAAGCTCGGGATTCTTGCAGCTAGCAAACTCAAGTTTGCACAAGCTTAGATAAGTAATTCCATCGGAGCCGCACACAGGCGAATATAGGTCGGGACACGGTGCGCATGTCGTCATTGAAGTACTGTCACTACTACTTTGAGAGCCTTCTTCGTACAAGCCACCCGTGCCGCTGTAGGCATCCGAAGAATCGATTAATGACTTTGTAGTGCTACCGTCGAACGTTGTGGAGCTTTCAACCGCATTATCTTCGTTGTTAGATGCACTATCGTCAAGCGATACCCCAAACAAATGACCATAGAGCCTTTTGTATTCTGCCAATATGCCCAGATTGTGATTTGTGTCCTTACACTTGGTCATTCGCAAATAACACTCATTCGTGTATGTTTTCCCACTCTCGTCGCTCACAGGGTCGTATATGTCGGGGCATGCGTCAGGACAGGTTTCAGTTGTGCTGCCTGACTTCGATAACTCGTCAGATAATGCTTCGGACCCTTCAGCGCACTCACCAACCGCCAGCAGACTTAGCGTGGCTGTTCTGCATTGGGCAATGCTAAATGCACAGGCATTTGTATACGTCACGCCGTCAGAACCGCAAACGGGTTTAAAGTCGGTAGAACAAATCGTGTAACAATCATCATCACTCCCAGAGGCATCGGACGAGCATGAGACGTCCCAGTAGTCGCTGCTAGACATGTCCCTTTCGTCACTGCCAAAGACCTTGCTCGAGGTTAAAGAGTCTGTGCCGTCAATTCTAGAGGTTTCAATCCAGGACGAGGCGTCCGTATCATCACTCTCATAGTCTTCAGAAAATGAAAAGTGCGTATTATGTTTCAGAGAGTCCGCGGTCAAAGATGTGTATTTGTCGCTAGAGGCCTCAGTCGACGATGAGCTGTCCGTGTATTTGCTGCCAGAGGCTTCAGTCGAGAATAACGAACCCGAGTATCCACCTTTTGCAGCATCACTTAAGTATGCGGACTTTTGGTAGACGCTTCGAGAGACTTCGGTCAAGCCTGAGTCATCGTCCCGAAACATTTGGCCTTCTGGTTCCAATTCCGCCATTGAACCCACGGTCGAGTCTTTGGTGCCCTTAAGATAATTGCTCGCATAAACACAGCTGAGCGCATTCGCCGCAGAGACGATGATGATCAACCACTTCATTGAGGTGCGGAGAGGAGGAATTGGACAGTACTTGAGCGGAGAAAATACCTACCGCTATCCCCGAAAACAGATGGCATTGTTGCAACGTGGTACTGCAATGCATTGGGACTAATTTGTGCTACAGTATATTTCTTATCGTTGGACCTATTTCATGTGAAGGGATTCCACTAAATGCTTGTATTTCTTTATGGCTCTGCTGTAAAAAACGTAGGCCGTGGCAACATCTACGAGATGGTGTGTTATTCCAGTACGACTTAACAAAGTGCAGCCGACTTGGTGTAGTACTGATGAGAATTAGGCTAATGAATTTGACGTTGGCAAGACAACGAAATACCTCAAAGATGCAATCTATAACGCCGGTACCGCGGTGCGTGTCGTGCTCCTTAGCACCCATGAAGGGAGGAGGCGTTACTGGGCTTTTTAAGTGCTGATATAAGGATAGAGGGGCATTATATCCTTGTTAACTTTGGAAGAGTGCATTACCGAATACATCGCGGTTCGAAGATTTAAAGTTGTTAGTGCTTGTTCCTCTTTTGAGTCTCGTTGGTAATGCTTAAAACTGCCGCTAGACCGCCCTCTAAAAAGAAAATACCGCAGGAATCTGATGAATTTCGGGGCCGTACACTTTGTCATTGGATAGTCGGGCTACCCAATTACGATTTAGCCACCAACCAGTTTAATCGACTTTGCGATGTGCGAAGAAACACTCTTAGCAAAGCGTGTTGGTAATAAAGGTTACTGAACAGTGGGTTATTAAGAACGATTGAAGATAATCATGTGCATTGGCTCTTTGAGAATAACCTGCACGAGCTGATTAATGCCTTGCTCATGGCGTCTCAATAAAGAATTGCTTACGCCTAAAGCGATACGCTTATTATTACCTGAAAGTATGGCCGTTCATCGCCTAAGCCTTCATGAGTAAAAAACGCATTTTTCTATACCTTCGCCTTGAACACCTATTTAATTGGTGCTAAGCGGCTGGAACGAGTTTGTGACGTAAGGGTAGTACTCAACCTGCGATGATCCTGAAGAACCATCTTCGAGACCTGAGAATTGTGCTGGCTGCAAATGTGCATACTTCTTCGCCAAAAGTGCCCGTAACTTTTTATCTTTACCTGGACGTGGCTTCCAAATAGGATACACAGAAATTATATGTTAGTCTCGCAAATCGTCATGAGGTATGCTGAACAAAGGCAAGCCGCGACGTACTTTATACATAGCAACGACAAAATTCACCGGTAGTCCATACCTAAGCACTGACTCCACAAAAATGCGAATCATCTAAACGCAAATTTATGCATTTCGATAACTCAGACATCATTGTGTGAAAACTTAGTAAATTTTTTACGCACCTTAATATGCATCCACGCAATAAATGTCTCTCCAAAATGCGCCTTGCACCAACGAATAAGAGCCGAATACAATCGGTCAACCTCCAATTTGAGCTCAGCAATCGCTTCTTCGTTCGAAGCGTGACTCATCGGATCAAAAGTGAAGTCACGAACGATAAAGCGCTTATCTTTAGCGCGTGCCTTAAAATCTTCTATGTAGTCCATAGTGGTGCCTGGTTCAAAATTGCCTTCCTTGTCCACAAAGCCCGACTGGTATTGCCCTTTTAGCAGAGTTACAGTGTATACGGCAGAATCACCTTCTTCCGTTAACTTGCGTGATGATCCTGGTACAACAGGAGATCCACGTTTATTTCCACGAGAGCCTTTCGGACCGTATTCGGCAATCTGATCGCCAATTTGTGCGTACTCAAGCAGCCATTGCTCCTCCAGAGTTTTAGGTACGATCACCACCAATGTTTGTAAATACTCCGTGTTGATAAAGTCCGACGTCGACACAATATCGGGTGTCAACACGTCGTTCAGATTTGCCACCATCAGGTTGCCACTACAGCACACGCAGATATCATACTTGTTCTTAGCATTCAAATTCACTATAGTAAAAGCAAAACACACTTATTTACCCTTTCTTGCGCTGAAATCCAATCAGCTGCTGCTTTTTTTCTGAGTAGCGGGAACTCAGTTGCTTCAATTCCTCTTCAATTTTTCCCACGGACTGCAACATGTAAACGTAATGAATCCACTTTTCTCTTAAGTCACCTTCAAATCTACTGTACCGATTGAATTATGTTGACAATTTCGGGAAGCGGTCGACGGTGTGGGTGCTTGGCCTCATCCCATGAGAAAAAGCTTAAGTACCGATCCACGGGCACTACATCACACCAGAGACAATCAATCAGTTTCGCCCAATTACAAATTTGTGCCACGTTGCACCTCCATCTACCGTGAGCGCTTGGTCACCCTTGTCTAGGTCATGGAACTGACGCTCAATCTTGCGCACGACACTCTCAATTACCATTTCCACTCGGTTCAGATCATCACTTAGCGCCTACGCATCAGAAATTTACGAAGATTCAGTTTCCAGATTATCATTTTGAGTCGTTTTGTAATGCATAATAAACCATGAGTGAGTCGAGTGTTCCCACAAGCAGATCTGACGGCAATTCCACGCGGACGCAATCTGTATTGCAGGTTGAATATCATAGATGAGGGCTCATCAAGCAATGTTGCCAGGATTATCACCTATTACCGGCATAATCATGACGACTGGAAGCAGTTTCTGCCTTGAGTGCAAGAAATGTCATCTCGGATGAGGAATTGCCTTCGTTGGGCACAGAAACCAACCAAACACTCATGTTAGGAGCTCAATTCGACGCCTGTGTAATGAGATCCTTTGGGGTCGGATTTAGAATTACTACGCAGACCCTAATAGTTTATTTAACTCTTCTGTAATCTGAAAACATTTTTTTCTTTTACAGCATTTTTACCTAAATCTCATAGAGCTTCGCTGTTTGATCTCGAAAGACGTACACATGCCGATATACTGTGGCTAGGTACCACAACGGCCAACCCGAGCAGGGTTAAGCATTTTTCGCAAGCTATCTACGAGTACAATTTGCCTGCCAAGCCACTCACTGAAATGGGGTACTTGATTTAAAATACAATACTACAAGATTCGTAATTGTGAATATTTAGAGTACCGAAATACCGGTGATTTATATATTGAGGATGAGAGAATAAAAAAAATGCCCAACTTTTGCCATATATAAAAAAAATATCCCAACTTTT